ACGTTGAAAAAAAAAATTTAAAAAAATAAAAAATAAAAAAAAAAATCACCAGGTAGGCACTGTATCCAAAATACATGAAGAACTCCTAAAAGTTAATAAGAAAAAGGCAGACAATCCTATAGGGGGAGAAAAAGAGCAGAAGACCTCACAAAAGATATTCAAATGGCCAAGAAACCTAGTAAAAACTGTCATAATTAAAATAGTGTGCTATTGGTACGTGAACAGATATGTAAATCATACCTAATATAAAAGTAGGTGAAATAAATCAACAGGACAAGGATAGACAGATAGTTACAGGTAAGTGAGTTAACTGGGGAAAAATCAGATTTAAGGCCTATGTTAGAACATCAAAATAAATCCTAGTTGGTCTACATAGTTAAATTGAAAAGAAGGGAAGGAAGGAAAGAGGGAGGGAGTGAGGAATCAAAACCCTAAGAAATGAAGAAAAGTTAAGGAGAAAGCTCTCCCTGACCCTCAACACTGTCAACCTGGCTGAGCGCAGCCATGCCCAGGAGACCCAGGCAACGGAAGAGAGAGATGGGGATTACCGCATCAATCTCGTTGAGGACCTTCCACTGTTCATAAGGCACACCCAGGGCCTCAGCTGTCTGGATTGTCCTCTTCATCTGGCTCGTCCAGACCTTCAAGTCCTTGATGTTCTGATCACTGATGAACTGGGCCAGACTCTTGGCAAACTGAAATGCATCATAAGCAAATTCAGTCTCACAGATTCCAGGCTGCCCTCCAAGGACCATGAAGCCACAGGGCACATGGCATTGTGCCCAGCCTCCAAGAACACAGAGAACTAATCTCTTAAGAATACCCATGTCCTTAAGTGCTGTTCTTATGCATTCTTTCCAGAACCCTCTGTGTAGTTCCCGTTGTGGATCATTACATCCCCTGCCATTGCCCACCTCCTGACCATGTGTCCTAGTCCTTATAACCCCCAACTGTGGCCTCAATATCTCCCCTAGACTGTGGTGCAGCCATCAGCTGCACTGTAGGAATTTGGATCACTCCCAAAATGGCATGCCTTTCCAGAGAAAGGGGCTCAGCTGGTGACAACTTGCATGGAAGCCAGAAATACAAGCTTGGTGCTTGGTGACTTTCCCTAAATGACAGGAACATTCCAGACTGAATGAAGGTCATCCACCTTGATGACACATTAGCTACAAGAGCTGGAGCACCACCAACCTAATATGGGAGCGTGTACACACTGACCCACCCGCCCCTCCCTCCTCCACACACACACTGACCTCCCTGCCCCGAGGGGACAGTCCTGGGTCCCCGCCAATCCGACCCTTGAGGTTGAGCTCACTCTCCCCATGTCGGCAGAGGTAGATGGAGCGGGGGGTCACATGGATGTTCATGAGGTAATATACAATACGGCTCTGGATGTGGTCAGCCACACGGTTCACCACGTAGCTCTGTCCCACGTCCATGATCTTGATGTAGGACAGATCCCTTTCCAGAGAGAAGGTAGAGAGAGCCCTGTGAGTGCTACTAGGGCCCTCGAGGGTCCGTCCCGCCAGCCACAGGAACTGGCCGCAGAGTGGTGCCTTCCTGACCACGAGGCTTCAGGTTACAACACACAGGACCGTCAGCCGGTGTATAAGTGATGGGGGTGAGGGGGGAGCAACACAACACGTGTGACATCCAGACAAACCCTGTGAGAAGTGCTCAACACTTGTCGTGTTTCCAAAAGGTGACATCCAAAGCACAGGGTCAGTCATACACATTGTGACTCTCGCCACTGCTCTGTGTCCCCCGGACCCCGCTTGCCTACCTCTGAGCTCTCAACGCATAGTCTGTAAGGTGAATAAGAGATAGTTTTTTCCAGGACTGACCTGAAAGAAGCTGGCAAGCACTCCTCCTCCACTCCCCTGGCCAGCCACCCCTGCACCTGCCGTTCCCTCCCCCAGTGAGCCCTCCTGTTGAAACCCAGCTCGGCCACTTCCCTCGTTCTGGCTGGGAAGTGCTGCAGCTGGGAGAACATTCTCTGCTGATATGTTTGCTGGGTGTTGGGGAGGCACCAGGAGGAAAGGTGGGGTTTCTCAGGCATCGTGCTCTGGACTGGCCCAGGAGTTCCCTGCATGCTCTCATCTGAGCTCTCACTGTCTGGCCCAGGAGCCTGGCTTTAGGTTTAGGGTTGTTACATGGACACCAATAAAAATAGCAGCAACGGAGTCGCTTAAGCGTCCGCCTTCGGCTCAGGCCATGATCTCACGGTTCTTGAGTTCCAGCCCCGCGTTGGGCTCTGTGCTGACAGCTCAAGGCCTAGACCCCGCTTTGGATTCTCTGTCTCCCTCTCTCTCTGCCCCTCCCCCATTTGTGCTCTGTCTCTCTCTCAAAAATAAATACATGTCAAAAAAAAAAAAATTGAAAAACCAAAAAACAGCAGCACGTTAACTGAGGAATCCAACAGGAGCTGCTCCAGTTAAGCGTCTCACACGGTGACATCACAGAACCATGAGGAAAACCGCTGAGCTGGAGTGACTGGAGAAACACGAAAAACCACAGAGGGGGCCCAGGCAATGAGTGTTGTTTAGTGCAACTGCCTTAGGCTGGCCAAGGAGACTCAGCCAGTGCTCTGCAAAGAACCCCAGAAACCATCCCTCTTATAGTGGCTTGTTCTCCTTAGTTTGAATACATCAGATGTTCTCATGTCATTATAAGTAACCCACGCCCAAGTTTATATTCCAGTCTTTCACTTAATGCTACATAACTGACACCTTCCCATGCATTGTCGGTATGATCTGTGACTATACAACACTTTACCAAGGGGCCACACTGTCACTTACTTAACCACTGCCCCCACTTTTGCTGTTAGACAGAAACCAATGAACTATGGCCAATAAGTCAAATTCAGCCTACGACCTGTTTTTGTAAATAAAGTTTTATTGGACCACAGCCATTTATTGACACATTGTCTGTTTCCTTTGCACCACAATGGCAGAGTTAAATAGCTCAACAGAGACTGTATGACCCCAAAGCCTAAAATATTTGCTACCTGACTCTTTACAGAAAAAGTTTGCTACTGTAAGAGCCTCAGCTGAACGCCCCTTGTGGGCCTAAAGGCCCCTCCCCACCTGACACTAATTCCTAGTGCCTGCTGGGTCTGCCATTCCAGAAAGAGGCAGTGGAATTAATCAGCACAGGCCACTGCCAGCTGTTTGTAGGCAGCATCTGGGCACTCCTTCCTGCCTGCTCAAAATGCAGACCGCGCACTTAAAGGGCAGCATGTAATGTTTGCAAATGCCTGGCAGGAAGATCCGCTGCACAGAAATCAGGCTTGATTTTATAACAGAATAGCAAAAATTCTTTTCTTCCTTCTTTTCTTCCTTCCTTCCTTTTCTTTCTTTCCTTCTTTCTTTTTTTTAAGTAAGCTCTACACCCACCACAGGGCTTGAACTTACAACCCTGAGATCAAGAACTGTATGGAATAACAGAAAATTCTGACTTGTAGAGCTCCAATAAGGTAATGGGGTTCTGCAAGTCATTTCTGGTCCTCAATTTCTGCCTGAAGGAAAGAAACAAGGCCAGACCATCTCTGCCTGTTGGAGTGGCCCATCAGCCACCACCACAGGGAGTCACAAGGAGGCAGCTCAGGGGGATCCCCACCACCCACCCATCATAGCTGCAGGACATAGTGCTCTCCTCACTCACCTGTCCAGGTCCTCATCCAATGACTCATATGAATTCTCATAGCATTCAATGCGCCTCATGAAATCCTCCGTGGCCTTATCACTATCATGGTTCACATAATCGGGGCTGCCGAGTTTCACTTGCTGCCGGACCAAGCACAGACATCACATCAGGGCTGGAGGCCAGGCAGGGCCAGAGACCAAGGAGAATGCCGGGCAGGGGGAAGGGGGAGGCAGGGCCAGAGGCCAAGGCCAAGGCTTCGGGCATGAGGCTGGAGGCCAATCCCAGAAGACGGGTCCCGTTAGGAAGAGCTCAACAGTTCCCTGGTCTTAGTTCCCACACCAGTGCCACAGAGTATTAGTGGGCACCCTAAGATCAGAGTCCCTCATTTTTGTGGCACTGGGGGAGGTGAGGCCATCTGAACCATCCTCCCAACCCCAGATATTCATTCCTTGTAAAACAGGGGGTAGGAGAGAGATCAAATCTCTTTCTCTTTCCAAATATAACCACCTCCTACCACACTCTCTACCTCCAGAGGCTGAAGCTCCTCTCCCACTGTCCAGGGAATTATGAGGGGGAAAGGGAGGGGAAGGGAAGGGAAGAGGAGGGAGCAAGAATGAATGCCCCCAGCTACATGGCCCTCCACACAAGTGGCCCTTGGGCATCTATGATCACCCCACCCCCAGTGTTCAAGAAGACCAAATTAAGGCTGGCCCAGGCACCAGCCCAGACCTGGAGAGGACCTCACTGTCCCATGCTACCTCAGTTGTACTATTGCCCCACAAGGTCAGATACACCACTCACCACGATGTTAGCAGCTATGACCTCAGGATCCACACAGATGGACTCCACAAAAAAGGTCTGCAGCAAGGACCAGGGCAGGCAGGAGAAAAGGAACCAGACACTCTCAGGGCCCTGGGCCTGGCTCCAGGGAGCCCCTACCCTACTGAGGGCCACGCTGACCCAAGGGATTTGTGCATTTGAGGGAAGGGTCAAGAAGCCCCAGACCAAAGAAGATGCCACCCTATCCAGGATTCTCCCATCAAGACACCCACCTCCCCAAACAGAAAATTCCAGGTGGAGAGAAAATAGCAACGCTTCTATCCCAAATCGACTCTGGAACCCACCTGCCTGATGCCCAACACATGTCACCAGGCTATGAAAGGGGCTCCAGAGGGTCCGACTATGCCACAGCCCAACCAAGAAGGTAAACCAAAGAGGCCTCACCTTGTAGCCATTCTGTTCCCCAAAATTAAAGATGGTCGCTCTCCGTTCTCGGGTGGTATTCGTTGCATCAAAAACCTAGGACCAAACTAGGGTTAACTCAGCCTCTGGCCTGGAGAAGAGGGGAAGTCAGCCAACAGCTGCAGTACGGGGACCGGATTTCTCACAGGGACCTTCTGTTGCCCAGGCCACCCTCCTGGCCAGTGTTCTTTAGACCTGCAAGGGCTGGGTTGGTACTCCCCTTCCTTGAGGAACACACCTCAAGGAAGCTGGAAGGAGTGGGTGGCTCTGCTCCTGGCAGGGCAGCAAACCCTTGGCACAAAGGACACACTCAGCACTGCCCTGCATGCAGCAGGCACTCAGTTTATGCTTGACTCAGTTCATGCTTCCTGTAAAACCAGTTACACATGGAGAGCAGAACCCCTGTTTATTTCTGTGCCATCCTCAGACTCTACTAAAATGGGAAGAGTAAAGAGAACAGGAGAGGAGATGTTAACAAAATTTGGGTGAATGACTCACAAGAAATGGAGAAAACCAAATACAAGCCCTCACCCACCAGAGCATACCCACTTGTACAGAACCAGGATAGTCGGAATCGGGACACAGGTGTCTCTGAGCAAAGAGACATGTGTGCAGAGGAAGAGGGAGGACTGCCTGGTGGTACAGCAAAGACCAGGTGGAACCCTAGGCCTTCTCCCCACCACATCCAGCCAGGCTGACCCGCCTGGAACTCCTTATGAACTGCCTGGGGCCTGTCCACACACCCTCAGGGGTAACCCACTTATATGCATGTCCAAGCAGCTTTTAGAACAGGACTTAAAAAAAAATTTTTTTTTTAATACTTATTTATTTTTGAGAGAGAGGGACAGAGCATGAGCAGGGGAGGGGCAGAGAGAGAGGGAGACACAGAATCTGAAGCAGGCTCCAGGCTCTGAGCTGTCAGCACAGAACCTGATGCGGGGCTCAAACTCATGAACTGTGAGATCAGGACCTGAGCCGAAGTCGGATGCTTAACTGACTGAGCCACCCAGGCGCCCTAGAGCAGGACTTTTTTTAAAAGGGCTCTTAATCAGGGCTCACTGGATGCTCCAGCAAAACCTCTAACATGAAAAACAGACTAGATAAAAAAAGAATAAAAAGAACTTTCAGCAAAAGAAGACGGGGTATAGAATATAAAGGAATGTAAGAAAACTTACAATTGTTATTTAAAGAGAGATACAAAATATTATAGTAACCACAAGACAGAGTTATAAAAAACTGGAACACTAGGAGAATAAGAAATTTAGAATTTAGAAATTAAAATATGATCATATGACTTTTTTTAAATTCAACCCAATGCTCATAAGATAAAGTGCTTGTTGAGAAAGTCTCCCTGAAAATAGAACAAAAATGACAGACATAGAAAATAAGGAGAAAAAAGATAAAATTAGGGCCCAAGCCTAGCATGAAGCCACCAGGAGTTCTAGAAAAAACAGCTCAGGAAATGGGAGTGGAATGGCAAATCACTGTCAGAAAGTGGTCGGGTGGTTTATCAAAGTAATTAATAGACAACAATTTCCTGATCTGTTAAAGAAGAGTTTCCCATTGGAAAAGTCACCCCAGGACCCAGTGTGGAGGAGAGGACCCACGGCAAGGCCCTAAAGTTCTCCCCAGAGAAAAGGCCATGAGCATCTCCAGTTCCCTCCAAGAGATGAAACTGTTAGGAAGATCAACAAATCAGAATGCCATCTGACTTTTCCACAGCCATTCTAGAAGCCATAACACAACAGAGCAATGTTGTGGAAATTCTAAAGGAAAAATACCTCCCACCTACACCCAACCATCAACTATAAGGATAAAACAAGACATTACCAGACATGCAAGGTCTCATGTGATGTACTTCCTAAGTACCTTTCTCAGGAAGCTACTGGAGGATGTGCTCCAACAAAACAAGTCAGTAAACAAGGAAAAAGAAGACACGGGGTCCGAGAGCAGGGCATTCTACTCGGGAGTCAGAAGAAGGGAATTCCCAGGCTACCACAGACTGAGAAGGCAACTGATCCAGATGGAGCTGGAGGATGAAGAGCTGTGGGAGGCACGTCTCCGAGAGGAAAAGGGAAGGAAAAAGCAGCCCCTGTGTTTGACTGCATAGGGTTAGGGTAGGGCCCTTTCCAACAGACACCCTTGCTCAACTGTGTCCCACCCATCCACCTGACAGGAGGGGCCAACACACAGGGGAATTCCATTACCCAGGATTTGGCTGGCTCCCAGAACAGCCACTAAATACGGGCCAGGATTCTCCCCACCCCAGGAGAAATCACATTTGCTAAAGACTTGGTAACATGATCTACCACATGCGGTGGCCAATAATGTGAGTATTCAGAAGGAAGTCCTACAGGATCAAATGCAACCACAAGCCCAGAGGGAAATTCCCAGCACACATCCAGCCTCTAGCTTCCTCTTACATGGTGGCTGTAGATTTCCGCCCAAGGGCTGGAGCCCAGGGGCAGCTGGGGCCACACACACCCTGACTTCCCTTCTGGATTCCTGATGAGCAAAGGGCTAGATGTATATAGGCTCCCACATGTCACTCCCAGAAGTCACCAGGGTGTTACACTCACCGCCACATGTCCCCCCTCCTCACTAAGGAACCGCCGGACATCACGGAGGGCCGCCAGGGCACACTGCCTTCAGAAGAAAAAACACAGGGTCAGCCCAGCACCCGACCCTGGCTGCAGGAGGGCAACAGGTCAGGGATATGTTCTACCCCAGACCAGAGAGGGCACAGTCCCTGGGGTCCCTTCTCTTCTCAAGGTTTCTCTTTCCTTCGGGTAATTTTCAGCGCTTTTGTGAACTCTGCTCCTGTAAGTGAAAGGCTACGTGTTCCTGGCCACTGGGAATAGTTTTTAAAATACCACTTTTCTGTGCTTTCTCTTCTCATCTCATTGGGCGCAAATCCAGGCTGCCATTTTGCCATATGCATGACTTCCAAGTGTCATGCATTTCCCCTGATATCAAAATAAGCACTTTCAAAACCAGACATTTCCTCGTATGTGACTGTTGGGGGCTGGCAGTGGGGAGACAAAAGACACTATCGCTGGTCCCCAGGGCAACATTACGTTTAATATTCAATTTTCCTTCCTGGAGGAGGACGCTATGTCTCTGCCTCTTGCACCATGTCCACTGGCCCTGTGGAAGGTGAAACTTTCCCCATGACTGATCATTGGTTATACTGCCTTCAGAACATCTCAGCCTCTTGGTTTACTGTGGCTAAACATACTGCTATATATAAGGATCTTCCTAATTTTATCCGTTTCTCCCACAAGGTCTGCAGCTAGATAAATCATTTTAATCTTTTTCTTTCTTTCTTTTCTTTCTTTCTTTCCTTCTTTCTTTTTCTTTTTCTTTCTTTCTTTTTATCTTTTCTGACGTAAGAATAAAATTAGATCTTCTTCCATTTGTTTGATCTTCTGATTTTGCACGTAAACCCCCAGTGCATCAAAGGGCTGTGCTGTCAGGGCCTCCACCGGGCCGGGCCACTGTGCCCGTGCATGGAGGCACGGGCCAAGCAGAGCAGGAGGCAGCCTGCTGGGGTCATGGGGAAACTGGTGGCAGAGCTGAGTCCAGGTCACTGGGAGGAGCTCTGTTCCTATGCCTCCTTGTGACCTTTCTGTGCCCCAGTGGGTCTTTTAGTTAACATTTCAAAAAGCTTTTGCACGCCCAAAAACCTGAATTCTGAGAGTCTGGGAAGTTGGCATTGCCGGAGCCATTTCTGGCCACCTGCATTCAGCACCATGCTCTGGGCTGAGATCTGTGGGCTGCTCTGGCTAAGGCAGCACCACGTACATCTCAGGGCTCCAGTGGAAATGTGGGAGGAACAGCCTGGGAGCCTGAGAGGATGGGGGTGTGAGTGTAAAGTGGGGGCAGTCTGTGGGACTGAGCCCTTAACCTATGCAGACTGATGCTAACTCCAGATAGATAGTGTTAGAACTGAACTGAATTGGGGCGCCTGGGGGGCTCAGTCAGTTGAGCGTCCGACTTTGGCTCAGGTCATGATCTCATGGTTTGTGAGTTTGAACCCCATATTGGGCTCCGTGCCGACAGCTTGGAACCTGGTGCCTGTCTTTGGATTCTGTGTCTCCTCTCTCTCTCTCTCTCTCTCTCAAAAATAAATAAAATATTAAAAAAAAAAAAAAAAAAGAACTGAACTGAATTGTCAGACAAATGTGCATGTGCCCACGGCCGCCATATGGGCTCGTGTGTAGTAGGAGACCACTGTGCCCAGTGTTTGGGACAGACATCAATGCTGTAGAACTCCAGGGACCTCGACGATATACAAGAACCTAGGCCTCTGGGAAATACAGTCTTCTCTTCTCAGGCTTCCCACTTTAAAAAGTCTGATTCTTCTATTTTGCCAGTTAGCTGTGGGACGTTCGGGGCTGGTTATTGGGAAATGGTCCGGTAGCACAGACCCAGGCTTTAGATCCAGAAGGGAGGGTTTCTAGGAATAGGCAGAGGGTGTGCCTGCAGAGAGGCCCATGTGAACCTGCCCCCAGCTGCTACCGCTGGGGCCTCTGTTCCAGCTGGGTGACTCTGGACTAGCTTCCCAACCACTCCGAGGCTGGGTTTCCCCATCTCAGTTAATCCCAATATGCCTACCTTCGACTGGCAGCCTGAGCAGAATTACCGGTGAGCCCTAGGAGTGCCAGCTCTCTTATTGTTCCCGCAAATATTTTGGATTCAGACAGGCCTGGCTTCAAATTCAAACCCTGCGTGATCCTAAAATACCATCATTTTCAGACCTGGTCTCCACATCTGGGAGAGTAAGGTGCCAGCACCCACTGAAGGAAAGATCAGGCAAGCTAGTCAGTGCCCACGGCTTGAGGATGCTGTAGAATCTGCATTTGATATGATCTCTGACCTACTAATTGGGTAATACTAGAAGATGGACACAACAGTTTTTAGTGGTATATGGGCTTAGATTCAAGTCTGGGCTCTTTGAAGTAACTTGTTATCTTATATGAGACACCTGAGCCTCAGTTTCCTCATCTGTAAAATGGGAAGGGGCGGTGATAATGGGCAACATGCACCCAATACACAGCAGGAGTTCAAATATCACTCCCCTCCCTATTGTCAGGGTCACCAAAGGGTCCAGTCTCGTGTTTGACCCACAATTCGGCCACAGGCCTGAAATGTCAGATTCCCCCACCTTCTTGGTGCAGCAGCCTGGCCCAGCCCTACTGACCCAAGAGCAAACCCTGGGGAGGGGCCAAGCGCCACAGCGAAGAGCTCTTGCCCCCTGGTGGCCAGAGACAGAGCAGGCAGCCTAGAATCCAGGCCTGGGCAACAACTCAGTAGCTTCTGGCCTGGACCCGTACTTGATTTGGAGACGTCACTACAGCTGGGCAGACCTCTGCTAAATGCCCTATCACAATGGCTGGGTCCAGAGCAAGGGCAAGGAAGCTTCTTGAACCCTCAGCTGACATCTGCCGAAAAGAATGCAGCATAGCTCCTCAGACCACCAGCTGGTGTTCTCGGTTCAAGTCTGAGTGTCACATGCAAATTCCCATCTCGTGAATAAGAGCAAGAGTGTGAAGTTTGAGCCACATGAAAGCAAAGCCACGGCCTACCCTACACATGCCAAGAACATGCCAAGCACATGCCAAACATCCTCCAAGTATACAGTTTATTCTGGGGCAAGGGAAGGAAGGCCACGGTTCTGGGCTGATCCTTCTGGCTTTGTGAGAAGCTGCCTGGAGGTAGTCCCACTCCCACTCTGCCCCATCCCTGAGGCCTGTGTCCCTGCACCTACTCGGGCCTCCCTCCCTACTAGAGGTCATCCCCATGGAAGGCCTGGGGTAAGCAAGCTGAGAGGCTTCTATGCAGCCAGCCCTTGACTGGCCCTGGCTAAGCCCCTTGCATCTCCCTGAAGCCCCCTCTTCCCCTCCCACAGGATGTCCTTACTAAGAGTTCATGAACCCCAGGGCAGGGCCAACTACCAAGAGGCCACACACCCTCTCCCACTGTCCCCAAATCCAACACATCCTCAGCTCCACCACATCCTGAGATGGTCAGGAGACCAGCCCTATCACAGCCCAGTGGGGGCAGGGCAAGGCCAGGGCTCAGGAGCAGCTTAGTCATGATCGGCACCTGGGCTCCAGGGCCTTCTCCATAAACACACACAATCACACATACACATCACACACACATACATACACTCACTTCCTGATTTTCAGGCCCTCTTCGTTGTCTGGAAGGAAAAACTCAAAAGACTTGTATGTCTTGACCATGTCCCGGCGGTACTGGCCAACGTTGAATTCTGGGGGAAAGAAAGGTTCATCTTTCACACAGCAGCAGCCCCAGCTCTTGCCCTTGACACATCCCAGACCAGCCTTCTCTCCTCCTCTCCCCTCCCCCTCACAAAGCCCCAAGGCCCCCTTGGAAGCCGAGGCCAAGTCTCACCGCGTGTTGGCACGCCAATCCAGTTCAGGTAGCGAGTCAGCTTCTTGGAGATGTAGGTCTTGCCCCTGGCGGGCAGGCCTACCATGACAATGAGCGTTGGGCAGTTGGTCATGCAAACTGAAAGGCAAGGAGCTGGTGTCAGACAAGAGCTGGGACCCCTCCCAGTGTGCCCCTCCCTCTGCTCCTGGCACAGGACTTCAGATGTGCCCTCCAGGCCTTCTGGCCTCATACCCTGGTCTCGAGCCACCACTGGCATGGCCCCACTGCCCAGGCCTGTCTGGGCTCCAGCAGATACAGCAGAATCTCACCAGCCCCTTATCCAGATGTGCACTGTGGATATAAAGCTGGATGTGCCACACCCCTGGATGAACATGCAGGACAGAGCCAAAGCCCAGAGGGTATTCAACGCGCCACCTGTCACCCAGGAATCCGCACCCCAGCCTAGCAGTCACTCAGCGTTCCCACTAGCGCATTCCCACTGCTTACCCTTCCTGCCTGCCTCATCGTACAAAGCCCAGCTCAAAAGCTGCTTCTTCAGTGAACCCTTCCTCCAAGACACCTCTGCACTGCCTTGGCACCCTCTCTCTCCCTCAGTCCTGGTCACCTCACCCACGAGTCTGCCCCCTGCATTTGATCACTTGAAACAAGAGCAGCCTTGCAGTATCTGAGCCATTCAGGACCATGGGGTCTGGCACAGGACTGATGCTCAAAAATTATGGGTGCAGGCTGGGGGGAGGGGCGGCTTCTCGAAATCCCCTGGGGTGAGAGCCATGAGGGGCTGAGACCAATGTCCACAAGGACTGACCCTCTGATAGCCCACCCCCCACCATCCCACATGTCACCGGGTCAGTGTGGCAGCCAGAGAAGTTGCCAAGGCTGGAGGCGGGGACAGGTCTGGACACAGCACCCCCAAACCCTGGTCCCCTAGGACAGACACCAAGACAGCAGAACCACCAGCCTCACGTGACCCGTCTCAGCTTTCAGTGTAGCCTCACCTCAGAAACCTGAGGAAGCTTTCCTTTCATTGTCCTCAGCACCTGGGCCATGTGAAACCACAGCAGACAGACAGAGGGCCCGTGTGGGGACCTGTCACTGCCCCATGCTCTGCAAGTGCCTTCACCTGGTAGTCCTTGGACAGATCACTGGGCCCCACCCCTCAAGTTGTCTCCCTCACTGGAGCTGGAGTGCAGAGGCCCTAGGGGCAGCCCTGTCTAGGGGTCAGGAGTCAGACAGGTCTGGGTTCCTATACTGACTCTGACAATTACTGGCAACTTTGAGACTTGGTGTCCTCACCTGTAAAATGGGATGACAATCCCTCAGTGAGGTCTAGCACTATTCCATGTGAAAGCCAGAGCAGGTCTGGGAACCTGTGCCCTCTGCCCAGCCCTGGCAGCACACCTGGCTAAGGACACAAGTGCACCTTAGCACAGACTGCCCTTCAGACTTAGGGCACAGAAGCACCTGTCTGTCTCCAGGCAGGCCCTGCAGAGAAGTAAAGGGCTTTGCTTGTCAGTCGGGGCTCCATCGCTCCTGCACATGACCGTTGGGCAAATGTGACCCAAACTGTGAGCCTCAGGGGAGAGAAGGGGAGGATCCCATGGAACACAGGATGACAGTGAGCAAGAGTGAGCTTGCAGAAAAACCTCAGCATTGGCTAAGGAGAGAGAAAAGCAAGTTAAGCAAGACCCTGCATCCTGAGGCCCAGCGACACGATGGCCTGTGCTGTTTGCACAATTGCTGGCCAGGCTCTCAAGCAACCAAAGAGCAGTGAATCAGCTACTAACTATGGGGGAAACCTGCAGCCAGCCTGCTCCACTCCTTCCCATTGCTCCCTGAAGGGCTCTCCCACCACCTCAGGATCCGTCTTCACATCTCCCATCCCAGAGAAACTCCTGGCCTCCTCTCCCAGTGTTTGGTAACAGCATCCCCTGACCCCATGCACAGCCATGGTGGGCAGGCAGGGCAGTAAACCAGGGCTGGGTGCAGAATAAGAGCAATAAATTACCTACCATCTCTGTTCCTCAAGATAAGCTCCAAAGGAAATGACCCAAAGAAAGATCAAGGTGCAAGTGTATTCACAATAGCTCTGCTTACAACAGCAAAACATAAGCAAGTGCTAGCAGTAGAGAATCTGCAAACTGAGGCCCACAAGAGGGAACCCACTACCGCGCCTGAACAGAGAGCATACGCGCCAGGTGAGCTGGGTGCACAGCTGGAACTGCAGCTCTGGGCCCTCAAGAACCTCAGTCCCGAGCAACCAGACAACAGAACGCACCATTTAGAACACGAGGCGGGTGCAGAAGGAAATCTGCAGACATGTCAATTCGACTTACCTCACTGATTTCTTTTCCTATAAATTTGCTTAAGGCCTTAGGAGCCCCAGGAGTCAAGAGGCCCGACATAAGCCTAGTGCAACACAGGGATGACTTTCTGGCGGTGTCACCTCAGGGGCAGCCACAAGTCCTGAGTGGGTTCCAGAACTGATTCCTGAACTGCACGTGCTCCTACTTCCTTGAGGCAGGCTGGGGAAGGGAGTACTCTTTAAAATAAAGCAGCCTGGCATCACTGTCCTGTTCAGAGGGGACAGAAAGTCATCTTTCCTATCGTCCCGTGCATGCACCAATCGTGTCCTTAGCCCAGAAGTCTTGCTACCTGGGGTACCTGGGTGGCTCAGTCAGTTCAGCGTCCGACTTAGGCTCAGGTCATGATCTCATGGTTTGTGAGCTCGAGCCCCATGTCTGGCTCTGTGCTGACAGCTCAGACCCTGGAACCTGCTTGGGATTCTGTGTCTCCTTCTCTCTCTGCCCCTCCCCTGCTCGTGCTCTGTCTCTCTCTCTCTCTCTCAAAAATAAATAAACATTAAAAAAAAAAAAGAAAGAAAAGTCTTGTTACCTTTTTGTTAATAAAAGCTATCATAGGGGCACTTGGGTAGCTCAGTCAGTTAAGCATCCAACGCTTGATTTAAGCTCAGGTCATGATCTCACAGTCCATGAGATTGAGCCCCCCTCCCCCCAATCAGGCTCCATGCTGGGCACGCCTCTCTGCCCCTTCCCCACTTATGTGTGCACGCTCGTGCTCTCTCTTAAAAAATAAAATAAAATAAAATAAATCTATCAAAAGTACTGTCCTTTCTGTTTTGATTCCTTTCTTCATTCCCTGCCCCACCTGCCCCCAGAACTCCTCCAAGTCTGAGCTGAGGGGTCAATGATGAAGAAGGTAACAACTTCCAGGCCTTCATGTGTAGCTCTGAATTTTTCCGAAGGAAGAAGAATTGCTAATGGGGAGTGGGGGTGGAGGAAGCACAGCCAACCAGCCTGTGGTGCCCTCAGGAGCCAGGGACTATACACCAAAGCCAACCCACTACACAGCACAGATCAGCCGTAGGCCCTATATCCTCTTCTCCACAAAGCCCTGTGATCAAGTCAACTTCTACCCATCCCCCTCCCTCAGAGGGGGGCCTCCTGTGGTCTTCCATCAAGTTATAAGTCCACCATGTAGAGGGTACAGTGCCGCATGAACAGTCTCTAGGGACTGGAGGTGCTGCCCAGACAGGTTCCATGTTCACTCCTGGCTTACTCCCTGCTGTGAACTCAGGGACCCTTGCTTGGGGACCAAACCACCACACAATCTGCAGGTCTCATCTTTGGCTTCTTGGGTGCCTCCTCCTCCAGGTAGCTCTCCTGTTCTGGGACAGTCCAGAATCCCACCCGCTGCAACACCCTGAGACAGTGCCATGGCACAAGTTCCTCTGCTCAGACCAGAGCCACATTTTCATCGCATCCTTGGAGCGTGGAGAAACACAGACCCCTCCCCAACGGGTCGCAGCATCTTTGCCACCTGGAATGGGGGCTGGCTCAGGGCTGATGCTTCAATTCCTGACTCTGACACACAGAGAAGCAAAGTGGTGATGAAATGGCAGAGCCACCTGCTGCCTCTTATCAAGCGCCTCCTCCTGAGGGGGCTCCTGGCAGCTTCTGGGAGTAGGGAGATGGCTGCCTCCATCCCACAGATGAGGAACCCATGGCCGAGAGAGTCAGCTTCGTGCCCAAGGTCACACAGCTGAGCTACCATGTGGCTGGAGTGTTCCTGCCTCCAAAAGCCCAGGTTGTGACTCCTTCGCCTTTATGTAGTAACAGCAGCCACCCCCTTGTTAGGACAAGACAGCTTAATGCAGACTGGCTAGAAGCACAAGAGCAAGAGGCCTTGGCCTCAGTCCCTCCAGAAAAGTCTGGAAGAAAGGATGTCTAGGCTGTAGCCATAGACTCAGTACTGAGCCATAGCCAGTCAGACTGAGTACTGACTGGAAAGCCATGGCCCCCGGGCTAAGAGACTGACCACCACCTCAGCCTCCTACCAGGACCTACATCATGATTAGAGCCATGACCCACCAGAATGTCTGGTCAAAACCATGACCACCCCCTACCAGGACCCAGTACAGTAAGAGATACACACAGCCCACCTACAGGACTCACATCTTGGTCAAAGAGCCCCCAGGCTGGCCCAAAGCAAAACAAGCACAGGGCACTCTCCCCTCCCTTATTATGCCCAAGCAAACATCAAGGTGTACAAGGAGATCCTAGCACAACACACAATCTCCTGATCTCCATTTCTATATCTGTACCACGAGTTGGACTAGATGTTCTCTGAGGTCCTTGCCAATTTGCAAATTCATTATAATGTTTCGGTTATAAAAAAAAAAATCTTTGTTTTTCTTGGCAATAAGCGGTTGCAGACTCATGTAAGGACAAATAGAAAGTCAAGTAAAGTGGATTAAACACCGGGATCCCAGGAAAGGCAGGCCCCGCCGTAACAATTCATTAACAATTCCACAGATTTCAGCATGTCTCCTGGATGTTTTCTCTTCCAACCTTACCATTCGCCCACAACCCCATCTGGATGCATATACAGCCATGAACACAAAGACAGGTCCATATGGGACAGTGTTCTCACCTTCTCCATTCTCAACACAACTGCACTTCCCTGAAATTCCTCTCAAAGCTCAGTTTTAGGCCCAGAAGTGGGTAGTTAAGTCCAAGGAGCACCCTTCCTCCCACTGGAGGAATGGCCCACCCTTGGGCGTTTGAAACTTCCGGGCTCAGAGAGGCCAAATGATTTCCATAAGGCCAACACAGCTCAGAACCGGTCTACACTCTCTGGCTTGCAGAGAGGGCAGGACGAAGCTCCGAATCCTCCCCTGCCCTGACCTAGTGAGTACCTGCCAGAGGTGATGGCGGCCAGACCTAGCCCCTAGCGAGCGTAGACGCGGCCATATACATGTCTCTTCCCCCTGCTCTGCCACACCTGTGCCCGGCTCCCGGCCTGTTCCTGCTCCTCTACCACCAGTCACGGCAGCCCCATCTGTCCCCGGTTTCCCACCTGTCCTTGGCCCCCTCTCCATGGGAGACCACTGCCCAGGCCGCCCTATCCACGCATCCCGATGCGCCGCCCTCCCCTTCCCCAAGGACCCCGCCTCACCACCGCGCTGGCAGGCGTGCAGAGCGGGTCGCCCATTGCTGTAGGGCATCCAGATCTTCTTCAAGGGGTTCTGAGTCAATTCCCGTGGGGACGCCATACCCGGGATGGGATGAGTCGGACTGCGCGGACCGCGACCCAGCAGCCAGGCCACCTCGGGCCACTCGAGGCCCCGCCC